AATGAGACTGAGAAAGGATTTTACTGCGGTGAGTAAATTAGGAGAGGAGGGAGGGGGGGGGAAGGGAGGGATAGGGGGGGATGGATGAAAGCCGGGGGGGAGGGGGGGTTAGGTGAGGTTTTAGGGTATTGGGGGGGGAGGTGTAGGTATATGTTTATGTACTCTATGTGGGTGTAGAAGAAAGAGGGAGGGAGAGAGAGAGATTTTATGTCGTGTGTGTAGGAACTTCTCTCTATCGCTTCCTCTTATACACACACGCATATACACATACATACATACACACATACATATATACATACATATATACATACAGAAAGAGAGATAAAGAGAGAGAGAGAAAGAGAGAGAGAGAGAGAGAGAGAGAGAGAGAGAGAGAGAGAGAGAGAGAGAGAGAGAGAGAGAGAGAGAGAGAGAGAGAGAGAGCGAAAGAAAGAAAGAGAGAGAAAAAAAAGTGAGAGAGAAAAAAAAGAGAGAGCGAAAGAGAGAGATAGAGACAAACAGACAGACAAACAGAAACAGAGAAAGAACAAGAAAGGCAAAACACGAAAAAAAGACGAGGGGAAAAAATAGAATAGAACCCGAAATGACCGCAGATGAAAGGCGTCGCATTCTATTAATAAGTTAACCAAACTTTCTCCCTTGAAAGACCGGGGGGAAATTCCGTAGGCTTTTCGTTGTTACAAAAGCCCCTTGTTTATGGAGACATCTTTGAAACTGGTTTTTGTACCTCTGTGTCTGTGGGCTGGGACGGAGACGGAGGGAAGGGCTGAGTGACGTATGTGTTGTGTCTGAGTTTGTTTTCTCGAATTTTTGTTTTCTGTGAGAGAGACAAAGAAAAGAAAGAAGAGGAGAGACGGGCAGATAGACAGAGGTCGATAAAGAGGCAGAAAGGTAGATAGATAGATAACTAGAATTATAGATAGATAGATAGATAAACATACAGACAGTCAGATAAATAGATAGATAAACATACAGACAGTCAGATAAATAGATAGATAAACATACAGACAGTCAGATAAATAGATAGATAAACATACAGACAGTCAGATAAATAGATAGATGAACATACAGACAGTCAGATAAATAGATAGATAAACATACAGACAGTCAGATAAATAGATAGATAAACATACAGACAGACAGATAAATACACAGTATACATACGCTATTAAGATCGAAAATAGCCTGAGCGAAGCATCTTCCAAGTTAGTAAGAATTCTTGCCGTTTTGTGAATTAATCCTACTGAGAATTTGTTAAAGAAATTCCCCAAGAGGTTGTTAAACTTGGAAGGAAACTAGATTTGTTAAAGGGAAATACAAAAAAAAAAAAAAAAATCTACTTCTCTGAAATTTGCCTCTTGTTTATTCATCTTTTCTATCTTCTTTTTCATTAAAGAAAGTTTTAATGAAGGATTTTTTTTCTGGGATGGAATGATAGAAAGTTATTAATGTAAATGGTTTCATTAATCGTATTATGGTTATCTTTATTAGATAATAATAATGATATCAATGTCACACACAGACGTACGTTTTCACGCTCGGTCGCACATGTCAATCTTTTTTCCCCATGTTTGCCTTGTCCTCTTTCTCTCTCTCTCTCTCTCTCTCTCTATCTATCTATCTATCTATCTATCTATCTATCTATCTATCAATCTGTCTGTCTATCTATCTATCTATCTATCTCTATTTCTCTCTCTCTCTCTCTCTCTCTCTCTCTCTCTCTCTCTCTCTCTCTCTCTCTCTCTCTCTCTCTCTCTCTCTCTCTCTCTCTCTCTCTCTTCTCTCTCTCTTCTCTCTCTCTCTCTCTCTCTCTCTCTCTCTCTCTCTCTCTCTCTCTCTCTCTCTCTCTCTCTCTCTCTCTCTCTCTCTCTCTCTCTCTCTCTCTCTCTCTCTCGTTCTCTCTCTCTCCTTTCTCTGATCTTTCTTTTTCGTTCTTTCTCCATCTCTTGCCTTCCCTCTTTCTTCCATCCCCCCCCCTCTTTCTATACCCTTCTTTCCTTTCTCCATCTCTTTTATTTCTTAATTCCCTGTCCCCTCTCTGTTCTCCATTTTCCATCCCCTTCCTTCCTTCCTTCCTTTCACAGCCCCCATCCTTTTTCCATTCCTCCATCCCCTCTCTTCCCTCTTCCTTCTATCCCTATTCTTCTTCCCTTTCCCCCACTCCCCTTCTCTTTTCATTCCATTATCCCCTCTCCCTTTCTCCCCATTAACACGTGAATCACTATTCCCTTTATAAATTAATACGAAGATAATCATTCACTCCGAGTAAACACTAATAAAAAAAAAAAAATTAAGCAATTATGCCTTGGGGCTAAATATTAAAATAATTTGCGGCATAGGTTGTTAATGTTAGAATAATGCCGAAATAATTACTAATTGGATTGATGATATTAAAACAACAATCGTCACAGCAGGATAATGTTTAAACAATCTGTCACAGAGTTGATGATAATGATATAATGTGGAAATCATTGTCGTCGCAGAAGACTGTATCACAGCTAATCCTCAAGCTGCACACACACACGCCCGGTTTACACGCACACACATAACCGATTTACGCACACGCACGACGCTCAGGTACACACGCACACGTATCTATGCAGCATTGTTGTGTAACCACTGGATAGTAATGATTGAAATTTTGTTGGGTTATATATGAATACATATACATATATATATATATATATATATATATATATATATATATATATATATATATATATAGAGAGAGAGAGAGAGAGAGAGAGAGGAGAGAGAGAGAGAGAGAGAGAGAGAGAGAGAGAGTGAGAGAGAGAGAGGGAGGAAGAGAGAGAGAGAGTATAGAATGAAATTATCAGTAAAAAGAAAGGAAAATAACAGGCGAGAGAAAGAATTAGAGAGTGAGAGAGAGAGAGAGAGAGAGAGAGAGAGAGAGAGAGAGAGAGAGAGAGAGAGAGAGAGAGAGAGAGAGAGAGAGAGAGAGAGAGAGAGAGAGAGAGAGAGAGAGAGAGAGAGAGAGAGAGAGAGAGAGAGAGCAGGCAATTATTCTAATATGATCTCCTCAGCCTCCCAGGGGAACTAATTGTACCTCCTCGACGTGTTTCCTCCTCCTCTCCTTCTCTAGAAAAAAGGAGCCACCAAGAACCCTACTCTTCACCCCCCCCCCCCTCTCCTACCCCTCCCCACCTCAACCCTCCTTATCTCCCCCACCTATACCCCCCCCTTCCCTACCCCCCTGTCCCCGTCCTGTTCACCCCTTTAATGTCTGTTTGATGAACCTACTGTACATATAGTTCATTATTAATACCCTGAAAACTACTTCACTGTTAGCTTTATGGTGTCTATTAAGCCCATTTTTAAGACCATCATCAAGAGCATTATCATCAAAATCATCATTAATTAACAAATTGTTTTTATCTTAACATTACTAAAACGAAATATAACGTAATAGCTTCTAACAGAGGAATGAACAGAACCTCCCCCCAACGAACAATGAATCCGTAGTAGACAAGCAGGTACAGAGGAGGAAAAGGGAAATCTGCTAGAGTGAATACGTACGGGCGAGCAGGCAGGCAGGAAGGCAGGCAGGCAGGCAGGCAGGCAGGCAGGCAGGCAGGAAGGCAGACAGGCAGGCAGGCAGGCAGGCAGGCAGGCAGACAGGAGGAGCAATCAATCTATAACTACACGGTCAGGTGGAGGCCGATTGCCAACTTAAAAAAAATATATATTGTGATGTGAATAAAACTAGTCATCTGTAGGTACTTGTTTTCAATATGTTATGGAAGTTTGGTGCTGCGAAAGTATTGTACGCACACAAAACACACTGTTGTATAAACATTTACATCAATCCTTCCATACATCCATCCATTCAAATCGTATCTATATCTATATCTAGATGTAGGGGAATGGACGTCCTTATTTACATACATGTATATACATACATATATATATACATATAGATAGATAGATAGATAGATAGATAGATAGATAGATAGATAGATGTGTGAGTGTGTGTGTGTATATGTGTATGTATTTACGTATGTATGTATGTATTCATGTATGTGTAAGCATTTGTGATATTTACATATATGTTTAGATACGACATACACATTCACATGAGTAACTTCTGGCCAGCTGGAAACACGAGAATAAAGCCTATGCGCCATAAGACAGGAAGGGGGGAGGGGGGGAAGGGGGGAAGGGGGAGGAGGGAGTTGGAGGATGGAGGATCTGGAAGAGGATCTCGAAGGATCAAGGAAGGAAGTATGACGTCCCAAACCCCCCCACCTCCTCCTCCTCCCCCCCCCTCTGCTGCTCTCTATCCTCTCCCCCCCCCACACACACACACCCTTTATACTGCCTCCCCCCCCCTCTCCTCTCCCGACGCTTGTCCCCCAATCCCTGCTTTTCTCTTTCTCCTTCTTCTTCCTCTCCTTCTCCTATCCTTTCTCCACCTCTCCATATCTCTTCATCACTTTCTATCCCTCCTTCGTCTCAATATTTTCCCCTCTCCTCCTCTTCCTTTCTTCCCCTCTACCACTTCCTTTCCTCCTTTTCCTCTTCTCTTCTTATCCCCTTCTCTTTTATTCCCTTCTCCCTCTCCTCCTCTTCCTATCCCTCCACCTCGACCCCCTCTTCCCCTCCCTCGTCCCCCCTCCTCCGTTAATCCCCTTTCCCCTCCTCCCCACCTCGACCCCCTCTTCCCCTCCCCCCATCCCCCCACCTCGACCCCCCTTCCCCTTCCCCCACCCTCCCCCCTCCTCCTTTAATCCCCTTCCCCCACCCTCCCCCTTCCTCCTTTAATCCCCTTCCCCTTCCCCCACCCTCCCCCCTCCTCCTTTAATCCCCTTCCCCCACCCTCCCCCTTCCTCCTTTAATCCCCTTTCCCCTCCTCCCACCTCGACCCCCTCTTCCCCCCTCCCTCCCTCGACCCCTATCCCTCCCCTCCCCCCCCCCCCCACCCCCCCCCCCCCCCCCCTCGTCCGCCACGGCAACTAACCCATTCTTCTTTCTCTTTCCAG